CCAATTATTAAGGAGAAGGAAATATATCACAACAATTTGGAAATTTGAAAACTGGTGTATGGGGAAGTAAATCGCCTCGAACACATCAGAACAAGCCTAGAAGGCCTGGTCCTCCGCCTGAACATTGATCTCTTGCAAGATTTTGGACTTTTCATGAAACCAATAGTTGATAATACTTTATTTATGAAAGAAACAATTTTGGTTCTTCTATATGTATAATATAGTTTTGAGTTATATAACTCATGGCTGTTTTAAAATTAAATTAAGTAAAGTTTGTATGCATAAGCGGTTGGAGTTTATAACCGATTTGTATTAATATAGTTGTCGTATCATAACCTAGATTTCTGTTATTGAATTGAGTACATATTATGCAAATATCATAAATGGCAGAAAAAGAGTGGACGTTCGCATACATTTATGTTGTCAACTAAATTCTCTTCATTTTCGTTCAATTTTTCTTGATGAATATAGCGGTGACAAATGGTTAATAACGAGAATAGTGATAATAAGACAGTAACAAATCTTATGCTAAACAAGGAGATGAGATTTGGTGTACATATTTTTTTTTTTTTTTGCTAAATTGTAAATATCATTTTCAGGATTACAAATTGTTGTTAGAACATATTATTAAACCTATAAAACATGGTTCAATGGCAAAAAAAAAAAAACATTGAAACCAAGATTCAATCGGTTTACGTTCGGAATTCATTGTTGTGAAGCGACAAAACCCCGAGAAAGTAGCGATAAAGAATCTAAATTCTCCGTGCCAGAAACGAAACGGGAAACTAATGAAGGAGAGCCATCATCAACGATCAATGAAGCATCAATCCTGCGAAAAGAAACCCTTTCATCCGGTAGCCTGAGAGAACCTTCAAACCTTATTTAAGGCCCAATTGCATATGAGAGAATCCAAATCGAAATACAACCAACAATATTTTGGAAATCTAGCTAAGACGGGACTGCGCTAATCGAAGTTTAAAAAGCACGAAGGGGCTCTTCCAGAACCTCTCCCCGGTGTCGGCAAGTGCTCAACTACGCAAAAAATTAAAGGATGACCTTACTAGTTCCTCCAAAAGCGAAAATGAAGCAAAACAACCACATCCGAAACCAAACCTAAATCAACCTCACTAACTAAATCGTGACCCGAACACAAGAAAATAGGTAGCATTGCCTTAATCCACACACTAGAGACAAAGAGACGTTGACAAGAGGGAAACTAGATAAAGGCATAACCGGATCAGATTTCTCCCAACGCCAAACAAACTTCACCGAAGGAAGACTAAGCCTACAGGGATCCAAACCCAAAACATGAGGACACTCAAAAAAATTAATTTGTAATAAAAAAATAAATTTCACACTCAAAACATGCACACTCAAAAAATTTAGAGAAATTTCAAAAAATACCATTTTTCAAGTGCCAATTTACAAAAATGCCACATTTTTACAATCTTTGCAAAAATGCCATTTTTTCAAAATTATTTATTCATTATATCATTTATGTTTGGTTTAACTCTGTTGTATTAAGGTTTAGTTTTGAGGGTTTAAGGGGTTTTAGGGGTCAAAAGATTTTTTAGGGTTTAGAATCATAATTAGT